GTTAGAGAAAAATAAATAAATAGATTGTAATGAATACTTTTTTTAACGATAATAATACTAATATTATTAAATTTGTATAGGTTATTGAGAATGCAAAAACATTATCATTTCCAGTTTCAGTAGTTGAATTTTTTCAAGGGTATCTCGGTCAACCATATGAAGGATTTCCTGAACCACTTCGTAGTGATGTGAGTATATACGAACATAGAGTATATTTGGATAATATGAATATACGTACATGTATTTAGTTAATTATTCAATCAAATTAATAGATAATTCGTGAAATGCCAAGAATTGAAGGCAGGCCAGGTGCTTCATTACCACCAATGGATTTAGTTGCATTGAAAAGCGAATTGGTTAGAAAATACGGTAATTCAATTCGAGAAGTGGATGTATTATCAGCAGCCATATATCCAAAAGTGTTTTCCGAGTATCGAGAGCAACTTGAAAAATATGGGGATATTTCAGTGATCCCGACTAGATATTTTGTTTGCAAGCCGGATATTGGTGAAGAGCTTAGTATACATTTGGAGGAAGGTGTAACATTGATTATAAAATATTTGGCAGTTGGGCCACTTAGTCAGAATACCGGGAGACGAGAAGTTTTCTTTGAATTGAATGGTGAGGCTAGAGCTGTTGGTATCGAGGATACAAGTGCTGGTAATTATTATTTTTTGTGCGATACGATAATATTGAAGCATTATACATTTTTTTAATTTTTTTAAAATTAATATTTCTAAAATAATTAATACTTAAATTAGCTGTTGAACACGTTCAAAGAGAAAGGGCAAATCCTGGTAATCCCGGAGAAGTAGGAGCACCAATGTCAGGTGTAGTAGTTGAAATTAGAGCTAAAGGTACATATATATGATTTATATATAAATACACAAAACTTGTTAATTTTTATAAATATTATAAATTTAAATTATTATTTATTCTATACAACAGTTGGAGCAGATATTAAAATAGGAGATCCAATAAGTGTTTTATCGGCTATGAAAATGGAAACGATAGTTACATCACCTGTTTCTGGTAAAGTTGAATATATTGCAGTTAAAGAAAATGATTCATTGAATGCAGGCGATTTAGTTGTTAGAATTGTAAAGAGTGAAGTAAATGAATGAGATTAATAGTTGAATAAATGTGATTGTTTGCCAGGCAGAAGACTTTAATCAAAAATTAGTTTGTAAAAATATAATTAATTAATTATAACTTGTAATATTATGTTATTATATTTATTTATTATTTAATAAATAATTTGTAATTATGTTTATCCTCTCATAATAAATAAAACATTTAAATTTTCAAATTGCTAAGAGCAAATTCAAATCCAAATCCAAATCCAACCATTAAAATCAAAATTCCCTACATGAGAAGCATCTAAAAATCATATCTCTTCTATTTAATTTTTAACATGATTGGCATTATTAGTATTAATGTTGTCGTCATTAGTATTATTATTAATATTGTTGGTATTATTGATGGTGATTTATAATATGTTGGCTCCTCAAATTGCTGCACCACACGTTCAAATTTCAAAAAAAAAACCAATTCCATTATCTGTTTCATCATTATTTGGTCTTTTAGAACATAGATAATGAGAGAA